TCTATCTATCTATCTATCTATCTATCTATCTAACACAATTCGATACAGTCTTACATGAGGTACAGAACCATCACAATTAGCTTTTATGGTTGTAATGGGGAAATAATCTTTGTCAGTGATAAAATACGTGCGAAAATGCCCCAGAAATCAAACTTTGAATCAAAGGAAATTCGAATTTTGGGAGAAAATGGGATAAATTAGAAATTAAAGCACAGAAAAGCTCATAACTCGATTTTATCCGGGAGATTTGGTGACCCTTACGGGAGGAGATTGTTGTCGTATCCGGGAGACTTGGCATGTATGATTATCACACTTGACAACTAATTGTTTTTAACAGAAAGGTGCAAACATAATCACTTACACTGAAATGTAAATTACAAGTAGCAATGTCATTATAGATGCAGATGAGGAGAATTGTGATTATGATGATTATTGAATATGTGGTACCCTCATTAGCACTGAATTATCCCTGTAAAAAGTACCAAATTATTTATGAAAGTGTTCACATTTATTTGTGTACATGCATGGGAAACCAAATACCCATGCAAAAGTGAATTTGTATAACATATCCACATACAAGTTGTGTTGAAGTTGATCAGTTTCTCAACTCTCAACATGCATGAGCTTGTTGAGACACAGACCGACAGTCAAATGTACACTTTCTCTGACCAAATGAATTGACAATTTGTCCAGATATTAATGGATTCCAAATTCCACTCAAAACTTCGTGTACTGAACACAGATGACGTAAAGCAAAAGACGTCTTTGTTTTCTGTTCAGGGAAAATCTGCTTGGTATTGTTTCAGGGCTGTTGTTATTTTGATTTACCTCATCTGTGTCCGGTACACAAAGTAAATGCCCAAACTACCATCACAACCATCCTCGCCACCCATTTATTACATTAATTTATCTTGAATGTAAAGCACAGAATGGATTGATCTTATAGGAAACCCTATACCTGGTTGTCTTTTAATTTCTGGAAACAATATCCTGCTGATGGAATATGTTTAACTTCGGTGACTATGCAGAAATATGTCACCTCCCTCTGACTTCTTTGAAAGAGTCCAATTTTCCCTGACTTATAGTGAAATTCACTGTCTTGATAAATTGTCGCTTACGGGTAAAAGAATTAATTTTCCTGGCAATTGTAACAGATGTCAAACACCAATATTGTGAGGAGATTGGAAATTCAGATGTTCGTTTCGAATAAATAGGATCTAAAATAGGAGCCCAGCAATAATAAATTTTTGTTATGTTTGATTTAAAAGACACAGCTGTGTTTATGTATAAGTCTGCTAAACAGATATATATTTTTAAGTGGGATGGTTTTGGAGAAGGAAATGTAATAAAAAACGAAAACATTCTTCAGTAAGGACTTTGTTTACAAATGTAACGCTTCCATTCACGCGCGCTTCGCGCGCGACGAGATAATAAACTCGCTTCGCGGGAATAAGCACATCAGCCTTTCATGAGTAATACATGAAAATGTGCTGGTCATCAGCGCATTCTCGTTCCCAGAGCTTCGATCCTTTTGGTCAGCGTCGTGGATCGATTACCTGGATCGAGAGCTCTGGGTCGAGCTCTGGTTGGTTCCAACTCAAGGGTTTGTTTTGATTGGCTTTGAAACACAAAGGAAACAAACCGAAAGTAAAAGGTGAGGTGAACATGGCTGATCAAGGCTGATGACCGTGGGATCCGGGTCGGACAGCATTTTAGCCGTACTTGCGTGGAGAGAATTCAATTTGTAGAACGTCTCTCGGAAATATCATTTCCAACAAACACCCGCTGTTTCTTATTGAACAAGAAGGCCGAAGGCGTTTACGGGGAATGTGTTGGTGTAAGAAAGAATTACCGGTATTTTGAATGGGAATGGAAAGTTGAGTAGTGTATGCAACAAATGTGTGCAGGAGAGACGTTCTGTTTAGGACTAATTCACAGTCACTAGGAGATGAGTTACACACAAGGTTCCTTTGTTACTCAAAACAAAACTTTCATCAATATTACCACATATTTTAGGAGTATGGGGAAGTTCACTAAAATTTAATTTGTATTTCGTTTACTAATGTCGTCAAAAAATGCACTTCCACTTTCAATAATAGCATGTAATGTACCATACTTCCAATAACTACAGGGCTGCATGGCTCTGCTCTAGCTAGGGAAAATTTCCGGGAGCCCTTCGGGTTCCCCAAGCATTTTAGCTGGCGTTCCCGGGCCTCCAATTTGGTCGCCCAAATTAATAAATCAGTGAGCTGTTAGTTAATTATTAAAAATTAAACAAACTTTTTTCTGAACAAGTGAAGCAGAATTTTGTGAATATTTTTTTCATGAAAAATCACATCCCTTTGACCTTCTGAGCGTGCGAAAAAAAAAATCCCGCATGTTGTCATATGAAAGTACGTTTTTAGCACAATATGAGAAACATGGGCAACGCCGCCGAATATTTCATGTTTTTTTAAATGGAAAAGTAAGATTCTGGTCTGTTTATGTATTTTTTACAAAAAAATTTTGGGTCAAAAATAAGGGCACTACTCTTTTTACTAATCATTTTGATTTAGTTCGAAAAGAAAATTCGGTTATTAAGATTCACTGAGATCCCGCGGAGCTTTCCAGGAAAACTGTTATGATTTCAACGAAACCGCGGCCGCCCCCTGGGGGTTTTTGCTGGGTATGTACCGCTGGCCTCCCAGGGCCCCTACCCCATTATAGTCCATTTTGTGGCCAATTGTAGACCCCATATTAGTAACTTTTGGGTAAATATGTAATTTTTGCGATCCCAACTTAATCACTTTCTATTTATGTATCTACCTTATGAATCCTTTAAATACAGGTCATCAAAAAATGAATTGACCCATTTTTTAATTCAGTGAAACCTGTATTAAGCGGACACCGTATTAAGCGGACACCCTCTATTAAGCGGACAGTAGCCGAAGTCCCAAAATTTATTTCCCTTATTTGCTTTAAATGAAACCTTTTTTAAGCGGACACCTCTATTAAGCGGACGCGGACACCTAAAAAGTGCCTGAAATGGTCTTTTCCATTGTTACCAACCTGTATTAAACGGACACTTGCAATCAAATGCCACCACCCAACATGCGAGACATCGGAAATGCGAAGATTGCCTCGAATTGCCACCCACAAATATTTCTATTTTCACATTAACAAACGTGACTTGACGAACATACTTGATTAGTTTCACAGTACAGTATTGTTTTCCAATTCTTTTTGTTTGTATAGAGCTTGTTTCACTCATCTGATTTCTTGAATTGCAATCTATGTTTAGGGTATTAAGATCAACTGCTCCACTTTGATAAAGAAATTAATGCAAACGTATATCGTCAAAACCTCTGGGAGTATGCTTAACCTTTCCACTGTTCATTTAAATGGCATTTGACACCTCATATGACGTTATCTATCGAAACCTGTATTAGGCGGACACCCTGTATTAAGCGGACACAACAGCATTCCCCGAGGGTGTCCGCTTAATACAGGTTTCACTGTATTCAAGGACAGATTGCTTTAAAAAATACGGTTCAATGCGTTAACAAGCAAACTGTTGTACTCTTGTTGCACCCTGTGTATACAAGTTTGCCTTCTCATAACCGTCTTCATACTGTCAATGCCAGATACTTTCTTGCTTTGGATGAGGCTTAGCAAAGTCGGGAGCTTCAGGGTTAATTCTGATTTCCTCTAATTAAATCATGTGAGAGGCATTTCTGCGGAGATCACCAAAGCAATAGTTGTGGTGGTTTCCAACCCATTGCCCGTTTCTGCTCCAAAAATCCTCCAAAACGTGCGAACCACTTAGCTCAAGACAACACAAAAAAAGTCTTGCTCGGGAAGGTTGTCTCTCATATAGCAGATGAGAATGACAGCGAACTGGCATGAAATCACAATGTCCTGGTATGTTTCCCTTGTGATAAAGTTTTGCTTTAGTGACAGCCCCTCACTACGATGAATGCAGTTATGCCATATCGCCAGGAAATGGGTGACAATTTCAGCGTACGTGATGCGACGTCTTAAAGAGGCAACACTGCTGCAAAAAATCTCCACATACAACCATACAACATGGAGGTAGATCTTAGTACCAAGTAACGATGGGTTTCTTGGGTGGCCTTCGACAAGGCCTTCCATCAACATCTGCAGACAGTTTCGGACCTGTGGAAATGTAAGTTTCTGAGCCGATCGCCAGTTCTGCCTGTCACTCCTCTGGACGTCGTTCAGTCCAAGACCATGATCTGGAATAGGGAACATTTCATATACCAACTACAAGTGATTCATGTGGACTAAGTAATTGCTCTGGCCCAACATCAATATAATACACGTGAAGTATGGTCAAGTGGATTAAGAAGCTTCTTGTGATTATGTATAATATAGTCCTGATCACATGCATCTGTGATGATATACCCGTTCTCTGTCTCAACCTTCCTGCAGGAAAGAACAAAACCAAGTTCCATAGGAACGGCACGATACCTGCTTCCAACGTTGTTTGTCCCAAGCTGTAGCATAAGCTTCCTGCGTCACAAGTCACCGTGTGAACTGTGTCCAATCAAGGGGCCGACAATGTCTTGAAGTTCCTTTTCGTAAAGGCGTTCTTCGTCTGCCGTTGTCTGAACACAAATTCATGGTCGAACCTATTACACGTAGGCATGATGAGAACAGGAATTCGAGGAAGTTTGGGGTGCAGGGTATTCAGGATGATTGCGCGAGCAAATGAGCCAATCTTGTACTCGTTGAATGCATTGACGATTGTGTTGTACCCTTGTTCGCCATTCCCAACAACAACAGTGAAATAGTCAACGCATTTGTTATCTACTCCGGTGACTCCACAGATCTCAGTATTTCATCAGTACGCTCGCTGTAACGGATTTGTTCCAGAATGGCGGTCTCGTCTTCTGCTGCCAAGACAGGGACGTGTTTGGCGCCAAGATTGCTCATAGCTTCCAAATACAGTTTGCTAAGGACCTTAAAGTTATTCTCTTCAAAACCACCGTCCAAATGTACTAGAATGTTGGTTTCGCCAGCGATAGATGGAGTGAATTTCTGGCCCACAAAGGTTGATAGCTACAAATGTCGCAATTCGATCTTGGTCCGCCCCAACGTAGCAGAACCTCCAGAAACAGCTTAAAAGAAGACTGATAACGGCCCCCGTTCTTTCCAACATGAAATTTTCTTGCAACAGTTTGCAGTACACCGACCAGGGTGTTTCTATCCTTCAAATAACCGTTTTGCGCTGCCTTATCCAGATTGTGGCAAATGGCTTTCATCGAGCCACGTCTTGCGAACTCGGCCAATTTTTCATCGAGAGAACGCTTTCGCATTCTCGGCTTTAAATTCTTGGACTTGAGAAAAAACAACTGAGATTCTTTATCGTCCAGCTTTTCCTTCTGTTCTTTTAATTTCTGTTGCATCTCAAATGTGGAAAGGAAGTCGTTTCTAATTGTGGAGTTGTTTCTCTTACCATCAGAACCAATTCTTTCACTTCACAATAATTGGCGTTTCTTGAAAGATGGAAGATTTGGCACACCCTCACAAGCAGAGCACATATCATTTTTAAACGTCCCCACATCTGCACAGCGTAAACATTCAGAACTTCGAAATGTCCCCGTCATTTCTTTGGAGCTTTCCTTACAAATTCTAACAAATCTGTAATGCGGCTCTGGATACCAGGAAATGTTACTATTGTTTTCACCTGGCTTTGTATCATTAATAGGCACTTTGGGATTAACAGTTACATTTTTTATCGCCGACATTATACTCGAAACGTTCAAGAAAGAATCCATGACAAAGTTGCTCACCAGGACCCTTTGTGTTAGATCATTTGCTGTTATCTTGTGTGTGAGCTGATTTATGGAAAAATGAGGCAATGTCAGCCACTGAGCCAGCGCGGGAGGCCTTCTGCTGATGGCTACGTCCTTCAAATGAACATGCTGTTTCAAATTGAAGAGAAGGGATCGTTGAGAAATAGCAAACGATGTATTGCAGGAACGGCACAAAACCTCCTCCCCTTGAGAGTGAAAAACTTTGGGAAATTTGCCGTCAATCTGATTCCGAAGACCTTGAATTTCTGTCGGTATTTCTGAGCTTCTGGACCGGCTAATGGCTACATTGAACTTGTGCCTTAAGGTTATAATGTGCAACTTTAACAAACTCAGATCCTGGTTCGCTTGTCCTACGGCGACTTCAGATGAGCAAACATTGCATTCAGCAAAAAGCTTTCCTTGTCTTCTTTTAATATTAAAAGCTACGCCTGGTTCCTTCTTTGCAAGTTCATTTGCTTTTAACTGCTGACTTTCCAGTTTGGTATCAACGTCTACTACTTCGACTACGTTTACGCGTTCTTCAATAATATCATGGTGAGGTGATGAAGGAATGTGATTTTTGGTAGCGGACGGCTTTAACGGCCTTGTACTGGTGTTTTCTGCCCGAAAAACATCCCCGAAATTAAGCGACGCTGAAGTTGAAACAGAGCCTAGTTTGTTAACGATGCTTTCTACTTGCCCTTCTCCATCACAAGACAAATCAGTTTCTAACTCTTCTTGTATTGGCTCCAACCTCGGTTTTTTTGCTGGCAGTGTTTCCTCTTCGCTTGTGATTGGCTCGTGTTCGACTGGTCTGTGGCCATAGTACTCACACAAAATACTGGCAGTAACAGTGGTTTCGTACTCATAACACTCTTCACATTTCAAACATTTCCTACGCAATACGCCTCTCTTGTCCTTTCTCATTTTAGGCTGTTTTCTTGCCTGCTATTGCCAGCCGGGCCTGCGACATACCAGATACGGCTTTTTTATATTAGCCGAGATTCTTTTATCTTACTCGAATATTTATACTTATGTAAACTCGCTAGTTTTGCGTACGATATATGTCATGGAGTACCACCTTTAAATCGTTTTATGCAGGAAACTGTGAAATTCGTAAAAACCGAATTGTTATGTTTAGTATTTATATTTATTATATAGAGAGAGGATATTACACGGTGGCGCGAAGATATGAATTTTATTTTCGAGTGGCAAAACAATATTTTACGAACGAGCGCAGCGAGTGAGTAAAATATTGTTTTTGCCACTCGAAAATAAAATTCATATCTTCAAGCCGCCGTGTAATGTTCTTTTTATCATATAGAAAAAGAGACATTGATAAAATAATGGATTAGTAATTGTTTAATTTACAATAATCTTGAGAAATAACGCTGAACGGAAGAGGGCTCTACAATGACAAAATATAAGCAAAACTTTGAAAAATGTGTAAGTAAAATTCAAAAGACGCAAGACGTCTACAAATTTCGAAAGAAAATTACCGAAATTACGTTATCGATAACTCACGTGTGAGATTATGGAAAATTAACCACTCGGGTCCCGGGTGTAGTTTTTATGAATTTTACGAGTGGTATATTTTCCAGTAAAACACTCGCGTTAATATATATAAATAAATGAAAATACAAAGTTGTATTATTTGGTCCAAGACATAAAACTGTCAAGCAAATTGCTTGGACCAGATAATCCAGCTCTGCATTTTCATTTACTTAATGCTCTAGTTTAACTATTGAGCACTTTAAAAGCAGATGAAGATTTCAATTTGTTATTTGGTGAATTTGATTTGCTGTAATTGCCTGATGAGTGTGGTCGCCTTTAGGCCATACGAAGCACAGCTTTAACGATAAAGCGATGTATAACCTCTGAAGCCTGGAACTGCATAAATTTTCAGTCATATTATTTATTGCCCCTGAAAAGTTGAGCACTCTAGAAAAATTATTCTAAACGGTTTAGAAAAATATATTTATATTTATATATGTACTGTATTTATTCGATTAGACGCCGCAGATGCGGCTTTAATTCGAATAGTATACTCAAACTCAAAAAGCGAAAACAGTAATAATCTAGTTTCACCAAGTCTAAAAAAAATTTTTCCTTCATTATAACAATGTCTACCAATGCATTCAAAGCTCTGATTAATGTAATCAAAACGCAGTAATGACAAGCAATAATGTCCACTTCTTTCTGTGCTCGTTAGAACCGGGCTCGCACCAGGCCCAGACACCATTATGGCATCTGGTTGGACCCAGGGTTCTCAGTCACAGGAAAGAAAATATCTGGCATTAATAGATACCAGGATTAGATGAAATAGCGGACAAAATTCCTGAACGAAATTCGGGCATGAAATACGGACTTTCAAACAGCGGCAATAGTCAATTTTCTTTCTCTTTCAAGCCCTCGCAAATAGCTGATGAAAGCTATTTTATAGAAGCAAGTAATTTTTCCCCCGGTTTTTCTGTTATATTTTCTCGGACCAAACAGTTTCCGGTTTGCACTACCGGCGATTGCAACTTCCAGATATTAAAATAATTTTTGTTCTACATCTCCATTATAGCTTTGGAAAAGCCTTAGCTTACACTTTTTGTATTCCTTATAATTTTTTCTGATCATAATGCGAAATTCTGGTCTCATTGAGGTCAGGAAGGTCAGGAGGCCAGGGAAATAAGGACATTCCACGTGGTAATTATTTACATGCGACCATTTTCGTTATATTATAGGGTTTATATTTTTTAAAAAAGGGAACACTTACCTTCTTTCTCTAAGTCACAAAAAAACTAGTCCACCTTCTTTCTCGTAGTCTCAAAGAACAGTCCTAAATGAGTCCTAATGTTGGACACGGGTTTTCGATTTTCAACCCCGTATTCAACCTGGGCGCGTCGTAGATTACATGCTGAGCCCGGGGTAAAACCAGTATTGAAACCACCGATTTCCGTCTGAATCCCGATTTTTGACCGTTAATAATATCCAGTAGTGTTTTATGGTAGCCATCTATTGACACTTTCTTTGCTTTTACTCCCGGGGCTGGGCTGCGTAATTTTCAACTTGCCGATTTGATTTTTTTATGTTTGAGTGGCCGTTCCCGGTTTCCCTAGTCTAGTTAAAATCTTCAACCAACTGATCAGTTTCCTGAAAAATGATATCCTATTCTAGACCCAAACTCTCTGATTTATATACGCTATCCTTGAGTAAACTGCTTGAAAACCATACCCTTCACAGCGGCATATACCTACAAATGTATATAGCCCCATACATGGCAGTACCCCCCGCCCCCGCCCGGGGCCTTTATGCTGTAAGCTTGCTTTTTCCTTCTTTGCTGACGCATATATCTTTTTTCTGCCTGTGCAATCCAACCTGACTTGCACGTGATTTGCAGTTGCAGCCAATAAAAATCACATAATTTTTCGGGACGGGCACGGGATACGGGAAAGTTAAAAAAAAAAACAAAACAAACAAGGCGATAGCGCTTTCCACTAATGACGTCACAAATTTCTGGTCCCTGCTGTGACTCAGACGTTAAACCTGACCGGTATTAGCCTGCGTAGCTGGCGGTATTTCTGTGGGTGCGAGATTAAAGTTTTGGCGGCGGAGCCGTGTTCCAAAAAAAGGGAGTAGGGACGAGGCGGTATTTCTCGCGGCTTCGCCGCTCGTGACGGCTCCGCCGTCAATCTCACTCCACTATATTACAACGGCTCCGCCGCCAAATCTCAATCGACTACTACACAATACCGCCAGCTACGCAGGCTAGACCAGTATAAGACTGGGCGGTTTAGTATGGGAAAGTCACGTTCGACAACACATTTTCGTCGTCTTTGAAGATGTTTATCGTTAAAGGAAACAAAATCCAGCTAGGTTTCGATAATTAATATCCTGAAAATAATCAACGCTTGCCAAGACAGCGTTAAACATGGAAAAAACTGTACAGATGAGTCGTTTTATTTCTTATGCGGCGTCATAATACTGTGGGTAAAATTATGTTAAAATGTGTGGAGAGCAGGGCTTCATAGCTGTGCATGAAACGGTGCATTTCGTTGAATTTATAGGCAAAGGTTGCTCAATTTTTTGGGGGAAAGCTTATGTTACGCTATTTAGTACTACAGGATATAAAGTACTAAAGTATTCGTCCCGGATTCATATGGTCTACCTGGCCGCACAACAACGGAACAAATTATACAATTTCCGGTTTGTGCTAATGTTGGTGTGCTTTTCACCTATGACATTCTGTCACAGGCTTGCGAGAAGCACATCCAAACTCGATGTTCTCTTGAGCAATTTCGGTTTTGGAGTATTACACAACCAATAATGTTATGTCATGTTTCAGTGCATAGCGGTGCTTTCTGCCTAAGACACAGAGCTAGGGATCCGATTTCAGTAGCCTTCTTTGATCGAGTCGCTTTATTTTCTGATTTTAACCATTTACCGGTATTTGAGTTACTGGACCAGGTTTTGCTTCCTATAGCAGTAGTGCCATTTTTAGTAAGGGGCCGACCATTTAACTCTTGACCACTTTTACTGAGCTAGGCTCCGTAGCTGCGGCGTATGGGTGGGAGGTTGATTAGAAGTCCAAATACTGTTTAATAGACTGAATTTTCGTTTAATTCATTAATTCATTAATTTCCCAGCCCATTCCTGGGAAATGGAAAGTCATTAAAATCGCCACAAAGTGAACGCTGTTACCATGCTCCGTTTGATTAGGATATTGATGAGTACACTTTGGGCTCACATACACAATTCAAAGTAGACAGACTGCAAATTATATTAGTTGCTAAAAATATATATATATCTACGTGTCGCAACTG